ATTTTTTTTCCCCCCCCCCCCCATCCAAGGCTTAAGGCTTTAAGCCTTTCACTTTTCAACAGCCCTTTATGGGCTTAAGGGCTTTATGTTTGTTCCCCACCTTTTTTTGTTATTTTGTCTTCTTCTTTTTTTGTTTTTTGTTTTTTTTTAACATAACTAATAATTAATGATAACCACTTTTAATAATTAATAATATTAAAATTATTAACATTCCCCTAATTGTATATCCACTTATTTATAAATAGAGAAGTAACTCAAAAGTCAATCACAAGGATTTAAATCTGTAATAGAAGTATAATTTAAGAAGAAAATAATTAAATTATATATTAGCATGTCAATAAAATTTTTATAGATTTGAGGAGTGTTACACACATAGTGGTCATTCCTTGCTGTTGACTTATTGATTAAATTGAAATTTCGTACTCAGTAATATTTATTCATTGCATATCATATCTCAGTCTCTGTTGCTATTTATCGATACATCACATCTTCATTTTTGGGCTAGTTTCATGACACTGTCAGCCCGGGAGACTGGAGAGATTGATGACTGAGTGAGGCCGAGGGCCTGATTATGAGTGATATTTATGGGATCGGGCTGCACGTCGCAGCATATTTTATTGATTTATGCCTGGATCTAACTTATTATAGCGGTTGGGCTGACGGAGCCCCTCCGGAGTCTGTACACCCCAGTGAGTGCAGTTGATTAATTTTGAGGGATGGATCTTCTCTGGGCATGGATCTTGCCCAAATCATTTATATTTGGGGATGGATTTTCCCTGGGCTAGATTGGCCTTATGCAGTACTGAACGATTGACTGTCAGTCGATGTATATATATTTGGGATGGATCTTCCCCTAGGCTGGATTGACCATATACAGTAGTGAGTGATTGGTATTTTGAGAGAGTGAGTACACGAGGTTTTCAGCGTGGTGCATCACATACCGCATGTACATTAGCATGTAGATGTAGAGAGGTCATATTCCTCATATCGTTTAGAATTGATCTATCATACTTGTATTGGGTTTAACTGTTGAACTTGAAAGCATGCCTACATTTCAGTACTGTTATTTCTATATTGAACTGTACCTGTGGAGTTTGTCACTACTTTCATTCCAAAGGTTAGATTTGTTACTTATTGAGTTGGTTGTACTCACGTTACACCCTGCACCTCGTGTGCAGATCCAGGTGCTTCCAGTCACGACGGTTGCTGAGCTGTGGAGTCCGGACCTTCGGAGATCATTGAGGTAGCTGCTTGGCATTCGCAGACCTTGACTCTCCTCCCTTATCTTTCATTTTATGTTTCAGTTTTATTTCCTAGACGGTGTATTAGACTATATCCTTATGTAGATGCTCATGTACTAGGTGACGTCCCGGTTTAGGGAGAGATTTTGTATTGAGTTATGACATCCTATTATGCTTTAAAAAGATTTTCCTTAAATTAAACGGTTTTCGTATCTTTCAAAGCTTTATAGTGTTGGAAATGTCTGAGTAGTCGGCTTGCCTAGTACCATGACAGGCGCCCTCACAACGGGTTAGTCTTGGGTCGTGACATTCAACAATCCAATATACGATTCAACATCCAATTCTACTCCAAATGAACTCAAATTAGAAATATAACTTTCAAATATCATAAACAACAAACTCTAATAATAAAATTTTTAAAACATCAACAAATCTAACAAACCCATTTTGCAATTAAGAAGAAGAAGAAGAAACACTAAGCACAACCTACAATGATAGTTTACAACTTATAGGAAGAAGAAGAAGAACCGAATAACTCTTGGACAGGGGCGAAGCTACCCTTGTCCGAGGGGTGTCAACTGACACCCCTTCGCCGGAAAATTATACTGTATAGATAAATTTATTTTTTTTAAAATAGAATATATACAATTAGTTGACAACCCTTGACACAAGACAACCTCCCAGTGCAACGGTCAAGGGGTGTCAAAAGTTGTTGAAGGTCGCAAGTCCCATTCCAGATTGCAACATAATTTCTATTTTACTGTTTAGTTTTTTTAAAATTTTTTAAACAAACTTCAAACGACATCGTTTTATTAGCTGTAAGTGCTCTTTTTTAAACTAACAAACGAAATTGGGATTAAACAAATCCCTAATTTCAAAAGTCAGTGCTCCCATTCTCAAAATTGCTCGAGTGCATTGTGTGTGGCCATTGTTGTCGCCGACTCGCCGTCGTTGGTCCTCTTTGTAAATCGCTGGTCGATATTCGCCTGTCATAGTGTCATGGCAGCCACAGTAAGTTCCTTTACTCTTTGTAAATCGTTGGTACTCTATTAAGGTGGATTGGATCGACTTTGTGGTCAGTTTATGTAATTCCTTTGAATTTCACATTTACATTTATCATTGACTTTGTGGTCAGTTTGTGTAGTTCCTCTGAATTTCTCATTTACATTCATTAGGCTGCTTTTAATTCGTGTGAGCATCTTGGACTTTTAAGTGTTTCTTTACCTTTAAGTGAAAATGCATGTACCAAAAGTCTGGAAATCTTGACAAACTTGACAGTTGTTATAATTGTGAATTATGATATTTTATAGAAAATATTACTTGTATTTCTTCTAATTAAATTTAATTTTATAATTTAGAATCAAAAATCAATGAAGCAATTTTTTTTCAAAGTACCAAAATCAAGTTTGGCCGCTCCTCATAAGCAATCTAACTTGGAAGAAGATGCAGTACCAAAATCAAATTTGGCCACTAATAATCAATCTAATTTGGACGAAGATGGCAACCAATTGGAAGTACCACTGCATTCTTCTCAAAGACAACAAATTAATCTTGAAACTTTAAACCACGATCCGGCCGAAAGAACTCAAATCTTGGACTGCCATCCAAACCTTCGCGATGAGATTAGAAGAGCATACATTCAGAGAGGTGCTTGTCAACCTCGAGAACATAACTTTCTCAAATAGATTTTTATGGAGTAATGCGTCGTTTCAATCCTAAATGGTTTGATGATTATCATGAGTGGTTGGAGTATAGTATAAGTAATGATGCATCATATTGTTTGAGTTGTTATTTGTTTAAAGACTATAATATTCATCAAGGTGGAGGTGATGTATTTTCGAGCATAGGGTTTAAGAGTTGGAACAAAAAGAAGAGCTTTGATAAGCATGTTGGTGGGCCAAGTAGCAATCATAATCATGCAAAAGGGAAATGTGTAGATCTACTATGTCAATAACAGTCCATTATATCTGCATTTGAGAGGCAATCTGATCAAGTTAAGCATGATTACTGGATTCGTTTAACTTCTTCGGTTAATATAGTAAGACTTCTTTTGAAGCAAGGATTTGCATTTAGGGGTCATGATGAATCTAAAACATCATTTAACAGGGGTAATTTTCTTGAAATTCTCTCATGGTATGCAAAGGAATGTGATAAAATTCATGATTATGTATTGGAATATGCTCCTCAAAATGATCAGATGACTTCTCCAATGATTCAAAAAGACATCGTGACTGCATGTAAGATGGAAACAATCAAAGCTATCATTAAAGAATTAAATGGTGACTACTTTGCCTTATTAGTTGATGAATCTTTTGATGTGTCGCGAAAGGAGCAAATGGCTATTGTCTTACGATATGTTGATAGAATGTGATTTGTGGTAGAGCGACTTATTGATATTGTTCATGTCAATGATACTTGTGCTTCATCTCTAAAGAATGCAATTGTTGATTTACTTGCTAAACATTCCTTAAGTCTATCATATGTTCGTGTGCAATGTTACGATGGAGCAAGCAATATGCAAGGTGAGCTCAATGGCCTTAAAATATTGATTAGGAAAGAAAGTAGATCGGCTTATTCTATTCATTGTTTTGCTCATCAAGTTCAATTAACTCTTGTTGTGGTTTCAAAAAAATGTATTCAAGTAGGAGAACTTGTAGTTTTGGTCTCAAATATTTTGAATGTGTTGGGATCTTCTTTTAAGCGAATAGATGAATTTCGAGAATCTCAAAAGGAAAGAATTGAAGAGGCATTAGATATGGGTAAGTTTAAAACCGGTAGAGGCTTAAATCAAGAACTTGGTCTTTCAAGAGCTTGTGATACTCGTTGTGATTCTTATTACAAATCTTTTAAAATTTTTATTCGTATGTTTGGCTCTATTCTTGATGTTCTTGAAGCACTTGTTGTTCATGCACGTTTGATGGATGAGAGAGCTAAGGCAATGGGATATCTCAGAACTTGTCAAACATTTGAGTTTGCATTCATGTTGCATTTGATGAGAGATGTTTTGGCATTCACAAATGAGCTAAATAAATGCTTACAAAAGAAGGAGCAAGATATCGCAAATGTTATGCTACTTGTAGAAGTAGCAAAGAGAAGGTTGCAAAGTTTTAGAGAAGATGATTGGGATTCACTTATTAAAAAAGTATCTACATTTTGTATCAAGTATGGCATTTTAATACCTAATTTTGATGAGCCATACGTTAACTCTTTAAGATCACGACATAAATCTACCGATCATACTATTTTGCATCATTATCGTGTTGATGTGTTTTGTAAGAAATTCAAGAACTCAATGGTCATTTTGACGAAGTGACTACTAATTTGCTTCATGGAGTTTCTTGTTTGAATCCAATTGACTCATTTTCTAGTTTTGACATCAAGAAGATCATGAAAATGGCTAAATTATATCCTGATGACTTTGATGAAGTTAGTATGGATGCTCTTGAGAATCAGCTTGCGACATACATTATTGATGTCCGTGATATTGATGAAAGGTTCTCCAATTTGAATGGACTTTATGATCTTTCAAGAAAATTGGTTCAGACAAAGAGGCATTTAAACTTACCTCTTGTATTCTGTTTGGTGAAATTTGATTTGCTTTTGCCAGTTGCCACTACATCATTTGAAAGAGCTTTTTCGGCAATGAAATTTATCAAGAATGGCATGCGTAATCGAACGAATGATGAACTTTTAAGTGGTTGCTTGGTGCCTTACGTAGAAAAAATGTATTTAGTACTATTTCTAATGATGATATTGTAAAAATATTTCAAGAAATGAAACCCCGTCGAGTACGATTGTAATAATATAATATTGTTTTGCTGTCACTAGTAGAATCATTTTTCTTGACTTCTTCTTTAGATTTTGACACCTCTTTGTGTAAATTCTGGTTTCGCCACTGCTCTTGGATACACGGGACATGAGACATGAATACAGAAAAAGAAGAAAGCAATAACGAAGAAGAAACAAGCATAACTAAAATTACCAAAAAGCAGGTTAAATGGGGGTGACCTAATATGATGCTCCATAAAAATTTTACACTTTAACTTTGAAACAGATCACGCGTCTTTAATTAACCTTGTTCTTTTTCACATATATAGTGACACTAAAGATTTTATTTAAGTAATCTAATAATATAAATATTTTTCACACCGTTCATAAAACATAAAATAAGAAATAAAAGCATAAAGCTTCAAAAGAAAATATACATAAACATAGCATGTATCATCACTCGCACTGATAAAGATAAAGTGAGAGACATATATACGTAACATTTTGCAGTTGCATACTACTGTAGTAAGTAACATACAGCCAAAACCCTTTCTTTCAAAAATAACAAGGGCCTTTTGTTTCCTTACTTCTAGAAATACAAGAAGCCAAAAAAGAAGAAGAAAAAAAAAAAAGACACATAAAAAGTACTACAGTAGAAAGGTAAACAAACTGACAGTTATGAAACTACTAATAGGTCCTAATACCCCATTTAGAAGAATATTTGACGAGCTCAATCATCTCTTCTTTGTTGATGTATCCATCTCCGTTGATGTCTGCATGATGGAATGCTCTGCCTGCTTTCCATCCACAGAAGCGTAAGCCCATCTCTTTAAATGCATATTTCAGCTCTTGCTTACTCAGCTTACCATCTCCATTCTTGTCATATCTCTTCAGAATTTTCTCCAGTTGCTCCTCGGTTAGTGGAATGCTTGCATCTTTACAAATTAACCAAGCCATTTTTTCCTTATATGGTGTGTCTTGATTTGTCTCCCTATGACTAGTTACTTTGAACAAAAGGGCCACTTCCTATATATTATGGCCAAGGGCCACTTGCATCTTTACATGTGCATGGTGAGTCATTCGCTCAGATAGAGACTTAGATTTTAGAATTAATGCGCTTTTCAATCAATTGATGTTTTGGAATTCTTTTTATCCCTATGTTAGCTTGGATGAGTGTACATGGAGACGTGGGGTCATCGTTATCCCAATTAAATATGAGGTAAAAGAAAAAAGTAATTATTGGCTAACTAACTCATTCTCTTCTCTTTTTTCCTTTTCTTTATGGATGCTTTCTTTATGGATGCTTTTGAAGTATCTTTGAACACTTTTACTTTTGGCTGAACTTGATTAAAAGATGAAATATGAAATTAATTTTGTTGAGAGGTTAATGCATATGCCTTAAGATATAGTAAATATTTGGAAGTGCGCTTGTCTGCAAGATTCCGAAGAGACGTTTCGTGTGATTTTAGTCCAATATTATTATATTCGGTAACACTTGTTGCCTAAAAATTACTTCATGTATCTTAATTTATACGATGTAGTTTGACTGGTACAGAATTTAAGAAAAAAAAAAAGAATACTTTTGAAACTTGTGGTCTTAGAAACTTAAAAGGTAAAAGATTTGCGGGGCCGTGACATTTGTGTGATTATAAAAAAGCTTCACATTAAAGATAAAATAAAGACTTTAAAGTTGAATTATTTCTAATTATAGAAATATATTATTTTATTTTTGGAACAGACTAATATGAAAAATGTATATATCTAAATTGAAACACAGAGAGTAATTCTTTTACTGGGAGAGAAAAAAAAACTTATGGAACATCATTTAAATAGATAATTTTAGCTGCAGATTTACATATCAAAAGTTCTCTTTCACGTGGGGCGGAAGGAGTACTATTAATTAATAACTAGTGACGGATGAACTTCATTTAAAGCTAGTTATCTCACAAAGAAATTTTTAACTTTCTTCTCTAGAGAAAGGTTTATTTGATACCTTGATTTTCTTGTTTACCCGAAAAATGGATAGAGTTGAATTTATATGTAGTTCTAAGGATATGTGGTATAACTTAATACAAATTGTAAGAATAAATAGAAATATCAAATACAGATTGCAAAGAATGCAAAATAAACAAGNGATGTTGGCCAGTATCGAGGTACATATTTTCGATAATCGAGAGGCATCTCGAACAGCTAAAGAAAGATTGCAATTGGGAGAACAAAGAAATAGTAATCCCGTCTTTTGACGAAGATATCACCACTTACGTGAAGGGGTTTTTAAGTGTGTATACTTACCCTTTCACGTTAGGTCCCCTCGACCCCGTTATTATTAACTTCTGTCGTTAATACCAAATAACCCTAGGCCAAATCCATCCTTCTCTTTGGCGGGTCATTATTTTGATCCGATACTTCATGAACAAAATCGAGGGGATGACTTTCACCCTCGACCATCTCATTCGATTGTACCGTCCTCGCCTTTTTCGAGGAGGGTTAATAAAACTTCAGCGTCCGGCTACCAAGGCTCTATTCTCGAGCATAGGCTAGGACAGGGATCGAGGCTGGATGGGCAGGTTCGTTCGAGTAAGGACTTCGGACCTGATTCCGACTGAAAAGATGCCTTTTCCCGAGGAGTGGAACATGAAGCGTAAGTGTAATTCTGTTGTTATCTCCTATTATTTTGCCCTTTTATTTCTTTTCTCACCGATATCCCCCTTTTTGTGATGCAGCAGTTCCCTGGATTGCCCGGCGCAGTTCCCTATCTGAAGAATTGAGTACGAGATCTGGCCTCGATCTCCTCATACGCCGAGCGCTCATGGCGCAATTTGTCAAAAGGGCCGATGGGAAGCCAAAAATCATGGTAAGCCCCTTTCTCGTATTTTTTGGTAGTTCGAACGAGATGCTTTCCATATAATTCAATAAATTTTCCCCTATGTAGGTGTGGGCAAAGATGCATTTTTAGGCCCTCGTCCGTCGAGGAAGAGGCTTCGACCTCTGTTCCAAAGCCGGTGAAGTTTAATAAGAGAAAAAGGTCTTCCGTTCCCGAAGATCCAAAACCGAAGAAGAGGACGGCTCGTAAGCCGAAGAAGAATACCATTCCTTTTACCGTAGAATCAGTTCTGCATCTAAGAGATGAAGACGAAGAAGAAGAAGATAATGACGGGTCCGCGCTGGCGCCCCAAATGAAGAAAACCATCGATGCCCCACAGGCAGTTGGATCGATGATGGTTTACCAGGCTCCGCCTCGAACTGAGGATATATCGGAGAAAGATTCGGGCAAAGTCCCCGAGCGGTTGGAAATCGAGGATATCTCCCATCGAAGTCAACGGATGGTGGATATGCCTGAGGGGGCCATTCCTGACTCTCTTAGAACCGAAGAGAATGCCCCAAGCAACTCACTTGGGGAAGTAGTAATCGAAGACTCGCCCACTTTCCCTGCTTTTTCCGGAGGGGCGATTCGGGAAGCCCAGGCTTTAGGGGCCCTTGAGGAAGATGGATCTCACGAGGGAGATGATCCTTTTTTCGTGATTTGTTTACCGGTGTCGAGGACGTTGTCGGCACTAGTGATGCATCGTATCTTTTCCTCGGAGTGCAGCAAGCTTTGAACCGGGTAAGCCTTAGCTCACTTCGTTAGTAATGCTTTTATGCTTGTTTTTCTTTTCTAACTTCGTTTCTTCTTTCCTTGCATGCTGTGACAGTTCATCGAAAAGCATGTTCTCGGTCTCAAACCGAGCTGCATTGATACGAGGCTGACCTTCGATGGGTCATGGAGGAGAGGAACTCCCTAAAACTCCTCTTAGGGCAAAGGGGAGAGGAAATCAAAGACATCCGAGCAGAGTTGGCCAAGGCTCACCAAGATCAGACCGATCTGTCCGAGCAAGTAATGATACTTTTGAAAACCTATGAGCTCGATATCGGAACGATGGCTAATATTTTGGTCTCACAGCTGTAGCAGAAAATTGAGATGATCGAGAAATTTCGTGAGGAGGTCGATGTGATAAAAGCGGAGTCCTTGAAGTGGAAAGAAGGTATGAATCGCTTCGTTGTAGAGAATGAGGCTGCTCAAGCCCAATTATCATCGGCCAAAAACCAACTTCAAAGTATGAAGGAAGAAAGATCGATTCAAGGAAGAAGAATAGAGGAGCTCGAGGCTCGGTTGGCCTCTGAATTTGCCAAGGCCGAATCTAACGCCGAAAAGGCAAAGGCCGATGCGGATGCACTCGTGGCCGTCTATCGGGCCGATACTGAAGCTGCCCAGGTACAAGCAAGAGAGGCAGTCGAGACCACCGATACTCGAGCACATTTGGTTACTGAACTTGCTATGTGCCGATCTCGGAGGGAGACCCTCGAGGAGATCTATGCTCGAGGGTTTGACCTCGCTGAAGAGATAAAAAGGGCTAAAGAGCTCGAAGCCGATGCTGAAGCCTTGGCTTCGGATGATGATGATGATGACGATGATGGGAGCAAGAGCGGGTCCAAGAGTGGGGAGGAGCCCGGTGGAGAAGAGACTGCTCCCGGAGATAACCAAGAAACTTAGCCCTTAGTTTCTATGTTGCAAACAATCATG